TTTTTTGAGTTGGAATCTTATTCTGTTGCCCAGGCTGGAGTGCAGTGGCACACTCATGGCTACTGCAGCCTCAATCTGCTGGGCTCCAGCGATCCTTCCGCTTCAGCCTTCCAAGTAGCTGGAACCACAGGCATGTGCCACCACACCTGGCTAAGTTTTTTTTTTTTTAAATTTATTGTAGAGACAAGATCTCTCCAAGTTGCCCGGGCTGGTCTTGAACTCCTGAGCTCAGACAATCCTCTTGCCTCTGCTTCTCAAAGTCCCAAAGTGCTGGGATTATAGGCGTGAACCACCATGCCAGGATATATATGTGTGTGTGTATATATATATATATATATATATATATATATTTTGGAGTTGGAGTTGGAGTCTCACTCTGTCACCCAGACGGGAGTGCAGTGGCCGCTCCTGGCCACTGCAGCCTCGACCTGCTGGGCTCCGGTGATCCTTCCGCCTCAGCCTTCCGAGTAGCCGGAATTACAGGCGCGCGCTACCACGCCCGGCTAATTTTTTGATTTATTGTAGAGATGAGGTCTCGCCTGCCCGGGCGGGTCTCAAACCTGCGGGCTCAGGCAAGCCACTCACCTCAGCTTCCCAAAGGCGCGGGATTACAGGCTGAGCCACCGAGCCCGGCTTGTATATCTATTTTTAAGAGAAAGAAAAACAAAGACAGGCTGGAATTATATACTATAATAACCTGCACTCTTGCTAAGGTGAACCACACATTTGGCTCTGAACTTCCTAGCAGTTAAGATAAAAGGAGAAGCTTGATCAGTGACATTAGATTAAAAATAAAAATTAAACAAAAATTTAAAAGACAAATCACTTGGGAAAAGTCCAGCTACTCTTAGCATTAACATTATGGGCGCCTTCATCAGATGACCCTAAGTGACATAGTGATCAATGTCCTCAACAATATTAATAGCATAAATGCAACAATAAATATTGTAATTTTTTTTTTCTCTATGTTGGTTTGCTTCACACCAACGTGCAACTCAGGAAAAGCTACTCTTGAGGGGTGTGATAGTTGGGGGCAATGAGATCCCAGCTGTCTGCTGGTCTGGAGCATACATTTGACTGTATGGACAGGAGTCACTGGATATCTTTTAAGCCTTTGTCCATGAGCGGCGTGTATCTCGATTGGGCTTAGGATAACCACTGAGTCATAATGAGTTTAAGATTGAGCTTCAACATGAAAGCCCTGTCGCTATTCTCTGGTGCCCTGTTAAATGAAATGAGTATGCTTTAAGGCAATTTTGCTGAAACGAGGTTAATATCACCTATAAAAGTTGAGTCACTGAAACATTCATGACCCCACCTGCCACCCAGCACAGCCACCTCCCTCCATCCATCCCAGCGTATCTTCTTGTACACATGCTGTTTCTTCTTCTTGGAATGCTGGTCTCCCAATTGGCCAATACTTTGTCCTTCTTTTTTAGGTTTTAAATCTCTTCTGATTTCTGATCATTTTTCTGATCTAACCACATTGGGTTAGAGTTCCCCATTTCCGCATTCCTGTGGCACCTTGTTCTTTAACTTTTTGACCCTTAACATGACTGTAACACGGGAGTTATCTATCTGAATGTTTACTTGACATGCCATCCCACTGGCTCATTGGCTTTGTTCTTTGCACACCAAGGGCCTCACGGGTGCTGGGAACATGGTACATGTTCAGTGGATAGATCCTTCATGAATAGGCGAGCCAAGTAAACGAGTCCTAGTCATGACAAGGGACTGACACTCTCATCCAAAAGCTGCTCTTTGAATCCATTCAAGCACAGAGAAAAATGGGACTTGATGCCCCTCTGGCAGCACCGCAATGGAAGGAAATCCTCATGCAGGAGGATAACTAGTCGGCCATCTTGGCTAAAACTGAATCTCAATTAAGCAAGCTTGTGGTGCTTTAGCTTTGAGCAGTAGTCCTGCTCCCTGGTGTCAAGGTTGCTATGTTTCCTTCTGCAGGATTTGATCTCTGGCCTCATCTCCCTTGGCCCAGAGCTCTTTGCAACAGGCCGTGCTGGTCTTGTCCTCTGGCCAAATGTCCCCATCCCTAAAGTGAGGCTCCCTTCCATGTGAAAGGTCTCTCATCCTGGAGTTGGATGAGAACCCCTGGGATCCCTACTTCTTTGAGAGAAGCCTGAGGCTCCTCAGGAACTGCAACTCTCTCTCCAGGTGCGTGGCCATGATGATGTCCGGACTCACACCAAGCACCATCAAGAACTTCTACCTGGCCGGCTGCAAGGTGAGAACAACTTAGGCAGGGCATGTGGCCCCCAGGAGGGGCGCCTTCAAGAGCACCCCAGACACTGGGGTTTTACCTACCAGGCCCAGTTCCAAAAAATTAATGCAAAAGTGCCAACTTAAAGGTAGCAATATTTTATTTTGCTAAGTGAACACATTTTTTCCAAATCATTTTATTTTCATAAGGATATTTTAACACCAAAAAAGTAGAAAGGCCTTAGATCTTGGTGGGGAAGAGAAACCAGCACAGTCTTTCTCATCAAAACAGCAGAGAACCTTCTAGGACATTCTTGCTGGAGTCGTGAGATCTTGACCCACCTGGGTCCTTATTCCCAGAGGTGGGAATAAGGGATAGAATCCAACTTGCACTGTCAGAGGAGGAAACCGAGAGCTAAGGAGGTGGCAATCTGCCCAGGGGAACCAGTGTCCAAGGAGCAGGGCTGGGTCCAGGCCTTCTGATTCCAGCTTCCTCTGTGTGGCCCCCGTGACCCGGAGGGACACTTGCGCTGTGTGGCAGACTTGTTTTAGCATGAACAAGTTAATCAGCATGTCACAGTGTTCCTGTCATCACATCTTCACCTTCATCCCACTGGTGATTCCAGAGGCCCTCTTGGTGGTAACTCTGGCATTTTTCAGCAGCTCTTGGGCCCCAGAAGGACTCCAGGCCCTGAGGACAATATTCAAGGTGTACTAAGACCTTCCCAAGGTTCCTTCCACTTTCCCTCCCCTTTAATTCTTGCTGTTTGGGTGTGTGCCCACTGTAGCCTCAGCACTCCCTTGGGATACACCCCTCAGGCCCTTCCGTGATCCATCACCGACATTAGCCAGAATGCAAGGCCCATGGTCAGGCTGCCTGGGTTTGCCTCTGGTTTTGCCACTTACTAGTTGTGTGACCCCAGGCAATCTCAGGAACATGGGAGCCTGAGTTTCCCCACCAGTAAAATGGGAATAATAGTGAACTGACTTTGTAGGGTTGCAGTGAGGATTGATTTAAGTCAAAGCGGGTGCAGTGTCTTGAGCATAGACACTTTGAAAGCGGTATCTGAGCCGGGCTCGGTGGCTCAGCCTGTAATCCTGCGCCTTTGGGAGGCTGAAGTGAGTGGATTGCCTGAGCCCGCGGGTTCGAGACCCGCC